AAGAACTTCCTCAACTCCTAGAACTTGTCTTTTATTCCCCTGCATTTATGGACTTTGCTGTCTTTCTTCTAGAGTATCTCTGTTAGCTTTGTCACTATGAATATTGTAAATTCTATATCTAACATTTCCATGAGTTCCTTTGGACTGTCTGTGGAAGAAGAGGAGTTATTATTTTCCCTTAGAGAAGAGATATTTTCTTGGTTTCTCATATTTCTTATGCCTCCGTGGTGGTTTCTGGTGATCTGATGGACTGTACGTTTTTTCCTAGTTTTTCAAGTTAAACTTCAACATTCAGAGGAATGCAGGAAGAGGTGATCTGAAATCTCTAAAGTGTACTATTTCTCTCCCTTTGTGCAACTGATTCAATGGAAATTTAAGGTTATTTTTACCCTAAAAATATTCATATATTTGGCTACTGAGCACCTAGACCTGGGTAGGAAATCAGTGTGTGAGGGCTGAGCAGAAAAGTGAGAAAGGTAAAAAGAAAAGGAAAAGAAAAAGAAAAGAGAGACAGAAAAAAAAATTTTTTAAAAGAAAAACCATTTAAGCAAAAGATGAAAACCACTCAGCATGCTAGCATGCCACAAAGATGGGGCTGCTCAGAACTCATATATAGATGGCTGCTAATTGGCTTGTTTTATGGGGGAAGGGGAAAAGATAAGAATTAGCAAGACAGAAGAGTGGCAGAGAGCTAAGAAGTTTAATTAAAAAAGAATAAAAAGAGAGAGAATACTTAGGGTGCTCTAATCTGGCTCCTAGCTAGATCTGGGGGACAGAAGTGTGAAGTCTGCACAGAAAGTTTTCAGTGGTCCTAATCCCTGAATGGAGCTGCTCAGAACTCAGATACAGATGGCTCTAAGCTCTCTTAAAGTAAATCTGGGAAAAAAAAAAAAAGAGAGAGAAAGAAAGAATGAAGAAAGAAACTAAGAAGACAGTTCAAGTAGCAAAAAAATTAGCAAATACATAGATAGAAATCTGAATATAACAATAACTCAACATCAATTAAAAATCTAAACAATAGACTTCAGATATTAGACAGAGCTGAAAAAAATCTAAGTTTTATAATGAATAATTTTGTCTAAGAGTTTTTGTATAAAGAAAAATTGTTGGAGACGTTCACTGAACATTGTTTTAACTCTTTTTCCCCCCTCAGTTTTAGGCTCCCAACCAAAGTTCTATACTGTTACACTTCCCTGCTTCTAGAACTACTTGGCCCCAAGAAAGCAGACAATATTACCATGAAAATACAAATAACATTTTCCCACATTTATATTCTGATACACACTAAGTCATCACTTCAAAATATTAAAATGTTATAAGTTTTATTTAGTTCAAAACATGAACAAAACACCAAGGTAGGTGTTAAAATTCTACTAACAATTTTAAAATGTACAAAGGTGGTCCCCATGCAGTGCAATAGATCACTAAAACTTGTTCCTTGAGTATAACTGAGACCTTGTGAGAGTATATAATCAACATCTCTCTGAATTCCATATATAACTATCCACTGTTCTGACATAACTCTTGAAGTAGTAATGAGGAGTCACATTTTGAGAGAATCAATCTAACTTGTGATTCTAAGATAGTAAGTAGTAAAAGTCTATAT